TCAGGTATAAAGTTGTTGCTAAGTGAAACTGAGTGAATTATAGTAACTATATATATCTAGATGTGTATAAGAGATCAGGTATAAAGTTGTTGCTAAGTGAAACTGAGTGAATTATAGTAACTATATATAGGTATTTTGGTAAGTATTTGRGGTAGGTTATTTTTTCGTGCTAAGAGAAACCCATATCAAGGTTTAGGGAAAATGCTAAGCTTAAATATTAGCTCTAACTTAAAGTTTCATACGTCACAGCTGGAGAGTATRATTGATGAAGTGATAAGAAATCCGAGTGTAGAGTCTCAAGATCATTAATAATATGCCGAAARACAAAACGAAAAAGGTAAAAACAAAATTGTATTTTCCTTTTCTAATTACTTTCTTAACACGGGATGTAATCGATTTTCTCCGTAATGCTAGACACAAAATTACGTAGTAGAATTTTAGCAGGAAAGAGAGTTAATAGCAAAATTTCAACGATCTCAATGCTGTTTTTTGACATAATTTGAGTTAAAAACTTTTAGACAAGTTTGAAAGATTTAAAATACTACTATGAAGATATCAGTCGGAAAGAACGTAAAACTATAGGAACGAACGGCAACTTCGGCATAAGRTTTGTCAGAAAAACGAAAACCATTATACGTGGTATATGGGTGTTGGAGTCGTATGGGTTTTATCAATTAAATACTACCATGCCACGTGCTAAATAAATGTTCCTTGGCTTTCAATAAAGCATCTTACATACCATCACCAATCATAGGGAGCAAAGTCAGCCGGATGTTTGAAAAACTTGATATTAGGTATTTGAGGGCTAGTGGCCAGTATTGACACCATTCAATCAATTTTGGATACACAGGATTACTATCGTYAGGAAAGGATTYTGTCTGAATTTCAATTATCMCACATTGACCGATRTTTTCGGTCAAAAGTCAAGTGTAGATATATTCGGTTCCAAGTGGCTTGAACAGTTTTGCTAACTTAAATGAATTAAAATTCTTTCAATTAATTATATGTTTTCGAAAGATAGCCATAGATATTCATTTTGAAATTGCATTCTATTGTATATTTGTTGTTGTAGTACTGTGATTTTTCGTTCATCACTTATTATTGCAYCATAGAAACTTTGCTGAGAGTTGCTTGCTGACCAACGCTTACTAAGCTTGTGCGAAATCTAAAGATTTAGCGTCAGAGCTCAAGAGGACAGGGGAGCACCGGCTCATTCCCATGATCTAATTTGGATAAGAGTACCCTTTCTTTGCAAGCCCACCGGATGTACACTTTCCAACACTACCGCTGTAACCATGCACATTATATACTTCTAGTATTTTCTAAGAAACATTTTTGCAAGTAAAATAAATTAAAAACTCCAATTTTATAAAATTTTATGATCTATCTCTTTAAACTAATAAATTAAATTACTAATTACATTTTATGTTTATGAAAAGAAAATAATGTTTATTGTCATTGCCAAATAATAATGCTTAAACTGAATGCTTTTGAGCTGTAAGAAATGCGACTTGTTGCTGGTGGAACACAAGTTTTTGATACACTTCTTGGTATTGGTGTTTAATCTGTTGTTGTTGCAGAATTACCAGTCGTTGCTGTAGATGTTGTGTTTGTTGCAGATGGTACTGATACCAGGCAAGCCGTTCTTGCACGGCCCGCACCAACTTGGACTGATGAGTGCCCTGTATCTGATGCGTCGTAGAGAAGTACGCCGCATTTGGTACACCGTTCACCATCGCCCGAAGTGCATGTTCACTGCCAGCAGTCGGCTGCTGAAAACGAAGCGCTCCCACTTCTGCACTAATGGTCCAGTAGTTTCCGCGCCCTGGATCGCCCATAGGTCGTGGAATTTTGCAGAAACAAGAATTCGTGCTCAGCGTCTGCCTTATCTGATTCTGCCAACCCTGTTCATCTTTTCGGTAGTAAGGGAAGTTGTCACTGATCCAGCTCTGTATAGAACTCAACGTTAGTTTACCCTCAGGACTGCTGCGGATTGCCATGGCCACCAACGCACTATAGGTATAGTTGGGCCGAATACAGTGGTTCTCTTTTTTTTTGGTAACAATCGTGTTGCTAGACGAGACGGAGTAATCTAGTGGTGGTGGGATTGGCGCTGGTTTGGTATCAGCGTTGTTCGCCAATAAATTTCGAATCGCAATATGCGATGTCATTGCCGTAATAGTTGTGTGACASTGTTTACGAAGTAAGTAAAATTCTCTAATGTTCTTCTGAGCGAAAGCCAAAAGCGACTGCTAACCCTTGCTTCAACTAATTTCATATTTATACCTCAAAAAGTCAAAGTGATGCCAAAATGCGGTCATAATATCAAGGTCACCAGAAGTATGGTAGTAAAGGGTTTTTCTAAACAATAGAGCTAAAACTTTGCGGATTTTCGTTAACACTTAAATTACCAAGASTAGTTTGTCCTTTAAACGAACCAAAGCATTCCAAGAACCAAAGGAATAGTGTAAAGGAATTGATGCATAATTTGTCATAAATATACGATCGATGTTTGGCAAAAAGTATTATATGAGATATGGTTCTATACCGTTTGTGCTTTCAAACTTCCTTAAGGCTTTAAGGTTTTAAATGGGGTCATACTCCTTAGTATGATTTATTCTTTCTCATCTTCTGATTTAAGCACTTTTGAGAGCAATGTAACCTTGAGAGCTATGTGTCATCGGAGAACCACTAAATGTGATTACGTTGAATATTAACACATGCACAAACGCTTCTTAATAAAATGCAAGCGCCATTATTCTACCTGYCTCGTATGCTCAGCCATAAAAGAAAAGGTTAACTTAGTACATTAATATCTTATTTTACTCAAAGCCGCACTTTTACCTGAAATGTCATTTTTAAACCACAAGATAGTTATTTTTGTGAGACTTCTGTAATGCTTCAACTTTCAATTGTTTTTATATTCTATTGTTTCACGATACTACACTTAAACCATATGACTTTTTGACACTTTTGTCAGTGATAATACTTTTTCTTGACCCTGATTTAAAGACCTCAATTTTTACATCAGCTAGACCAAATTAATCCCTTTGTAATACAGAAATGCYTTAGGGTATAAAAACGATAATTGTGGAAGCAAAAGTCATCAGTCATCTTTTGGCTTCCACACAGAACATCACTCGAGAATTTAAGCTATCTCGTATATACTCAACTCTCTAAACACTTATCCACAATGGCTCAACATTTTGAATCTAGCTTCTCGATTCGTAATTTGTTAGCGAACAATGACAGTATGAATCCAGCATTGACACCACCACGATCTGATATATCTATGTCTCCGAACGAATCAATGTCATCTAACGAAGAGAACTGTGGAAGTCGTCCCAACTATACTTACAGTGAGTTGATAACCATGGCAGTTCGTAGCAGTATTGAGGGCAAACTGACTTTGAATGCTATACAGAACTGGATCAGTGAAAATTTCCCTTACTACCGAAAAGATGAGCAGGGCTGGCAGAATCAGATAAGGCAGACMTTGAGCACGAAYACTTGCTTCTGCAAAATTCCACGAGCAATTAATGAACCTGGGCGTGGAAATTATTGGGCGATTAGTCCAGCAGGAGCACATCAAGTCCAGCAGCCGTTTGGTGGCAGTGAGACGTTGACTGGAGCGATGGTGAATGGTGTACCGCATCCTCAGGTGCCAAATGCGGTGTACTTCCTCACACCACAAGAAGTACAGGGAGCTCATCAGCAACATGCTTGGTACCAATATCACCTACAGCAATCGAAATTCTTAGAGCAGCAACTGATGGTCCTGCAACAACAGCAGATTCAACAGCAGTACGAGGAAGTGTATCAAAAATTTGTTTTCCACCAACAACAAATGGCGTTCCTAAGCGCTTAGCAAATATCAGCTTAAGCAGGAATTTTATCTATGCTGCCGGAAGAAAGTTGAGGGATGGTTTTCGTACATTTTACAACAAGGGTAAAAAACCAAAAACAAATCTGTATCAATGTTAAGTACTCAAATAATATAGTTYGTGATATTAGTTTAAGAATTATTGAAGTCATAATAATATTATAAGTTATTATAATAAATTTTGTACGAAAAAAAATTGTAAACTTTAATTTTCTTATTTAAAAGAATCGTGTTCGGAGCAACTCGTTTGTCTTCTTAGTAATTTATTGCACATCCTTCAACTTCAGTTTTGGTTTTTTATTCTGTGATGAATTTATCTGAACGTGATATGGATYTTGTGGCCTTGTATTTGGTTACAAAACGTTTTGTGGGTCTTTATTTAAAATCTTTGCATTGGCAAAATCCAAAAGTCTTAAAAATCTTGAAAGGAAGGAAACATAATTGAAACCTCACAATTTCGATTAACAGATTTGAAGTAGCGAATATCATGTATTTATATATTATAGACTGGATCAAATCGGAGGAGGAAATCAAACACATACACAAATTTAAATATTTTCTTAAGATCCCTCAAGAACTGCAAAGCTTAATGTATGCACCAGCTTTCAATATTCTTTATTTCCTAAAGAATTATTCAAATTTATGGCAAAAAGTCAACGTCAAAGTCGAGGTCAAATTGCCGCCGAGGTCGTAGGACAGAATTTAGTTTTATCTTGGAGTGAGATGAGATTATCGCAATTTCCTGTTTGTAGATGTTCCTGTTCAATATAAATTTTGTTTTGAAAGAACGAAATATCTGAAGCGAAGTCGAGTGAATATTAATAAACTAATTTTGAAGCCAAACTTTTTGGAAGCTAATTGATTCTTTTGTTCTTCCGCTCTTATTATTATAGAATGTATGGGAAAGGACTGTCAATTAGTTCAGAGAAATTTTTTCCTCATTCAAACAACGAATATTTTAACGAGATTTTGCAAATTATCCTGATATTAGCCGATATGTATAGCTTAGCCACATATCCAGTCTCATGCAGTTATTCTATCTCAAGTCTCACCCATCCGTTGTAACGCCTGTATTTTAGAGGTTTCAAACAAACACAATTAAATTACTATTTTATTTTGTTCACTGTCACTTCAAGCACCAATTCGCTAGCAGTAATAGTTTAACAAGCACATTATATTACCAAACGCATAATATAATTGCGGTTTTTCGATGGCACATAYCTTGGGATGTCTCATTTGTTGTTGGCTATAACAGGGGACAGCTATAAGGTAAAAATAGTTCAGAAAACAAGAATGTTTGAGTGTTTCAATGATTTAAGGAAYAGTAACARAGCGATTGATGTGAGTCAGGTATAYTGTCGAAGCTAAGCCAAAATATTGCTATGGAAATCGACTCTTTATTGCCTCTGCTTTCGACTTTATTTTCTATACTGACAGAAGTAAAGTTGACAGGGGCTTAACTGAATTTTTAATTRCTACACTCGTTACTTAAGTTTTGCTTCTTCTTGCAACCATCTTTCGTCTAATAGTAAATTATCATTTCACTTTGCCTTAGAAAATCCAAATTTAAGAGAGGCCTATTTAAGGCAGTGAACGTTGCATATTAGTTACATATTTTCAAAGTTTTAAGCTGYAACTGTCTTGCGACTACCGTAACTGCTTTTCGATCACTCCGGAGCACAGTGTCTGTTTATTAGACGCTCAATAGAAGCATAGTTYATTATATAAACACGGATKGTAGCTCATTWACTGTGGTCCTTGYGTAAATATCYAATRCTGCAGGCTATCATCTGCAAGTTTYACAGAGATGTGCCCAGTAGTTTTCACAGCCAACTTTTGACACTTAATTAAATTGTAAAAGGAGTTATGCACAGATTGAGCATATTTGTTGTTGTTGTGTTATCAGTGTATAACAGTTAGTTCTTCTTTTTTGGACTTGTACTAAGACTTTTTGTAGTGATTTACAGAGCTTAAGTCAATATGTCGCACATTATAGAGATTTGTAATTAATTGGACGTCGCTCATACCACATGGTGTACCGGAAGATAATTGCAGTGTGGAATTTACAACTTTAAGTATCGTTTTGTAACGAGTTTATGATAATTATTAATTAATAACATGCAGGTATATTGGTCGCTTAAAGTAATGAATATAAAGTCGCTCATACGCCGTGGTGGTCTAAAATCTGAYTTACGAAATATAAAATGTGGAGTTCAAACACAATGTGCTTATACATATATTATCATATTCTGAATTTTGAAAAAAAACAACTTTTTTGCGGATTTATTTGTTATATAATCGAATTGACCACTCCTTTAGAAGCAATCTGACAATTATCCTCATTTAAACGTTTCTAGATCAGATAAAAATAGCAATGCCAGTTTGTTTTAGCCACCTTCAGTCTCAATAGTCTTAAAAGCCATACCTTATGCACATATATCAATTCTGTACGGCTGCAATTACCCCCACTTTAGCATTATGGCAGCTATTAAATGAAAGACTAACCCTTTTCATATGTCGCAACAGCTTTTGCCATTAATAAGACAAGCGGAAATAAGCAAGGAGGCAGGCATGGAAAAGATATTCACACGTGACATGTCCGTGTGAGAGAAAACGTTTTTATTATTATTTTTTTCGGTAGTCCTGCACCGTTGCTGCAAATGCCATATGATACATGAATCCTTAATCCACCTCTCTTTGTTTCAAAAATTACATATTCTGYCTACCCGAAAATACAACAACCAACAGCTCATGCTGTTGTCATTTTTGCCATATCTTCCCTCACATATTGATCTTTTTGATATATGTATATTTTTTTCATATCTTTTGTATTTTTCATATTTTTTTAATTTTATTATACTTTTTAATATTTTTCACACTCTTAAATCTTCTTTTTGTTATTCCTTTCTGCTCACTGATGCAACCTGCATAAACAACAACACGTAAAAATGCGATTTGTGAAAGTAAACTGTGGCTGGAAGCGAAAACAAAGCAAAGTGTAAATAGCAAAGCACGGAAGGCGACAGAATGAAGCAAGAAAAAAGTACGAAATTGATGGCGTCACACGAAAATCCGTAGCGACATATCCGCAGAGAAATTCAACAAGAATAAAGTTAAAAAAAAATTAAAAAAAAATCTGAACCAGAAAACACAAAGTCTGGCAACAATACTGAAAAGATAAACAGAAATAATTTTTTTTTTTTGTTTTTTTTTTTTTTTTTTTTTTTTTTTTTTTTTTTTTTTTTTTTTTTTTTTTTTTTTTTTTTTTTTTTTTTTTTTTTTTTGGTTGGGAAAACTTTTTGCGCCAAATATTGCAGTGAACGAGTGAAGAATGAACCCGTCATTGTGACACCCGACAGCACACGACGCGGAACGTGTGCTACGCGGCTGGTAATGACACATCTCCAAGCTTACGTGCAGACCATGCTGACCACCTGAACTGTGAGCTGCTAAATAGTGAAGCCGTTATTTGGAGGTCACACATATGTACACTTGCCCCTCTGTACTAAGCCCTTACGTTGCTGTAGCCACTGAATCCTTTGCTGCAGCTGACAAAATGTCCRCTGGCTTTGCTTGGTGCTGGTGATTTATATATTTTGTTATTTTTAATATACAGCAGACCATGATGGAGTTACGTAGATAAAAATTTATAATAATAGCAACATATTTTATTTTATAGCAGTCCTTTGAAATGTCAACTCGGGAGGAGGTAGGGTATTTATTATTTTGAAAAATAAATATAATATTTTTGTTATGTGTGAAGTGGTCTTGGTCGGCCTTGTATGCATTATACTTATAAGATATGAGCTCTTCTATGCGAAATTTGTTTTAAAGCGATAGATTAATAAATAGCAGAGCTTCTGTTTAATATGTGAGCACTTGCAGGTTCAAATTTAGTCTGTGTAATTATGTCTTCCTCTTCGACTTATCGTTAGCGCAGCTGTGTAAGCTTTAATAGGATGAACCAGCATGGGATAACATCAGCAAATATATCGTTTACTACGAAAATTAACTGTTGTGGGTCTAAATATTTTTAGAGATAGATCAAGAGAGTAGATTTAGTTTGCTAAGGCGAATAACTTCGGTTCTAGCTCTATAGCCTAGATAGTTAAAACTATAAAATCCCATTGGTTTTAATCTTAGTCTCGCAAAAGCGGGAGAATTAAGTGGAGATATATTTGAGCATGCTTTTTAGCAATAAAATTTAGGAAAAGGCTTTGCCATCTGTTTGAAATTGTTATTTAAAAAAAAAAAATTATCTTAATTATTACCTTAATTTTTTTTAACACAGGTCTCGAAATAAAAAACAGTTTAACAGTTTAAGGATACTTATAGCTGGAAATATTTTTATTTGGGTTGCCAGCTGTTCGAAAAATTTACGATATTAAATTGATCAAATACAATTTTTAATATGTGCTTCAAATTAAGCATAATATGTATATTATAAATTTCTAAAATAAAAAAATATTTTTCGAAGAGCCTTGCCACATGCTTATTATTTTCAATTTAATAAAATTTAAACAATTACTAAAGTTTATGTCTCGAAACTAAAATTTTTAGAAGCTTTATAGTTGAAAATACTACATAGAAGTTAAAATAATGTTTCGAATAGGGTTGCCATCCGTTCCAAAATTTTATTTTAATAAAACTTAGAATATATATTTGAAATTCAGGTTTYCATGTTTAAAAATTTTAGGAATATTTACAGCCGAAAATATTTTTGAGCGGTGTTGCCACCTGACTAAATATTTTACTCAATTAAATTGAACAGATATTAAAATGTGGGCATCAAATTAAGCGAAAAATTTTTTTTTAATGATATCCTCTAGTAAAGTGTTGCCAAGTGCATACATTGTTAAAGAACCATCTCCATATGGAAGACATTTGTTAGCAATTCGAAATTGAACTTAACCTAGATATGTAGCCGTTCAAAAAGCGCAGTTTGTCTTCTGCTAAAATTTGCTTCATTTACGTATTCAAATGTA